CTCTCTCTCTCTCTCCATCTCTTTCCCTCCTCCTCTTCCTCCTTGCCCCTGTTCCGGCACCTAGGGCACTCTCTTGGGTGTGTTCGCACACAATGCCAAGGCTGCCATCTATCAGGGCACCCTCACAGGATGCCTCCACCTTCCATCACCCACAGGGTTGAGGGTCCCAGGTATGACCGCGCTCTCCTGGGTGGGCGTGCTGTGCTCGGGGAAGCAGAAGCTGCAGGTCTCCACTGGCTTAGGTGATGTGCCCACAGGGCTGTCGGCTTTCATCTGGTGATCTGCAGAGGTGAGAGTGGAGGGCGTGGGCCAGGCCTGGCCCTGCACTGGGGTAGGGGTGACTGTGGGCAGCCATACTCTCCCCTGACCCAGGAACTAAGGGCAATCACCAGGCTAGGGTCATCGGGGGGACCCAGGCGGGTGTCAGTGTCCCTCACTTGCTTACCAGAACATGTGCTGGGGCAGGGGTGAGCAGGCAAATCTTGGCTCTCACTTCTGCCCAGCCCCAAGCCTGCCATGCCCACCAAAGAGACACCTCCTCCAGGGCTTAGCCCTGATGGCCCTGCATCCTGAGAACCCCTAGCTCAGGCAAACCCGAAGGCCAGCACCCCACACCCACCCTTCCCGGGTGCCACTCTCCTGGATATCTGCCTGCCAGGATGTCTTAAACTGATTTTATCAAGCTACAGCGAATAACAGGGATGAGCCCCAGGCCTGAATAACAGGGATGAGCCCCGGGCCTCTCCACTTAGAAGCAGGGGCAGTGACAGGACTGAGGGATGGCCCGCGGCTTGTCACCCAAGCAGTGAGAAGGGTGAGGACCCCAGTTTCATGCACTCACCCTGGGAAGACTTGGCCGGACTTTGACAGGGCCTTGAGCAGGGCTAGCAGGAGCAGGGACCCCTCCTTCTTGAGGAAGCAGGCCACCACCATCAGGAAGCAGCAGAGGACGGCCCACAGGCAGAGCCCCAGCGTGCTGTAGACCAGGGCCAGCTGATCCGCACTCAGCTTCAGCCCCAGGAGAGCTGCAAGACAGCATGAGACCCCTCTCTGCAGTGCCTTCTCCTCTTCCCCTCCTTAGGCTCAAGCAATCCACATCCCCCCATCTCCCTGCTGCTGGCCGTCTGGCTCCTGGAGAGGCTGGGCTCCTTCCTGACCCTGAGGCCGGCTGGGATGCTCTCTGGGTCCTAGAGGAAGTTGATCCACTCCCCCATCCTGGTGGCAACTTCCCAAGGCCTCGAAGCTGGACAATGTGAGCGGGTGCAGGATTAATAGGTCCAGGATTAATCTGTTACAAATCTGATGAATCTCTCACTGGCCCTGGGTTATGAACTCACATTGCAAGCAGAAGGCTCATGTTGCAGTTACCAGAGAGTGGGCTCGTTCCACAATGGGGGTCACCCACACTTGCAGCAGATGCTTAAGAACTGAGCACTGGAGATACAGGTACTAGAAAGACAGAGAGACTTCCTGCATGGAGCTTACTGTCTGGGGGAGCCGACCACCTGACCATCCCATGGGGAAACAGACCATCACAGCAGGACAATAGCCTGCAGGAGGGGGGCACAGAACCCTGGCAGCTCATCCTGGGGAAGGTGCTCTAGTCTGGGAAAAGGCTTCTCAGAGAAAGGGGTCTGTTTTACTTTTACTTTTTCATCGTAGGAAGAGCGCACAGTTTAAGTGTTCAGCTTGATGAACTTTTACCCATGGGTGCACTCAGGCTCAGCCCCCAGAGCAAACTGGACAAGACCAAGTTCATGCCCAGCCCCTAGAGGGCTCTTTTCTCCCCTCCCATCCAGTATTTCCCCCCAGAAGTAACCACTCTTCTCAGCCCCCTTGCTGTAGATTAATTCTGCTTCTTTTTGCCTTCTATAGACGCATGCAGAAGGTGCTCTTTTGAGTCTGGCTTCTTCACTCAACAATGACATCTGTGAGATCCTCTTACATTGTTGCATGTGGTCGGAGGTCATTTTTTTTTCATTGCTGTATAGTATTTCATTGCATGAATACACTGTTATTTGTTGACGTGTTCTGTTTATGGATATTTAGGTTGTGCTAGACAGTGATAGTTTTGACTGAGTAGAAGTTACCTTGCTATGCAGACGTAGAGAGGATAGGGAGGGACATTTGAGAAGGCAGGAACAACATTCACAAAGGCCTTTGGCAGGAGAGAGCCTGCCTGGAGCCCTGAAGGCTGGTGTGGCTTCCTGGTACCCCGCTTCTAGGTCACTGTGTTCTGAGCACCTGCTGCCCTGACCTGGTGTGTGGCTCTCCACACCCATTCCCACCTCCTCCTCCTGTGCCTTCCTGACCTGCAGGGGCTGGGAAGTTGAAGGGGAGTGATGTAGCCACAGAAGAAACATGTGGAACCACCGGCAGCTGGGGGCGGTGAGAAATGGAATCCCCCTAGGCCCTTTGTAGGAAGTATGGCCCTGTCAACACCTTGACTGCAGATTTCTCACCTCTAGAACTGCGAGAAAAATAATTTCTATTGTTTTAAGCCACCAAGTTTTTGGTCATTTGTCACAGATGCACAGGAAACTCATATGTGTCTCACATATTAGTAAGCAGCATGGTATTCTGGATCTACTGAAACAGCCTTGCAGTGAGTTCAGACAAGAATTACTAAAGGCAATTGGTGAAATCCTTTTGCCATCAAGGATTTGGCATCAGTGTTTCCAAGAATTATGTGTGCAAGTTGACATGCTAGTACTTTAGCTAATCTGGGTGTCAAAACAGAATGCCATAGACTAGGTAGCATAGAAAATTGATTTCTCACAGTTCTGGAGATGGTAAAATCCAAGGTCAGATGTTCAGCAGATTCTGTGTCTGCAGAGGGCTGGCTTCCTGGTTCATAGACAGCCATCTTTTTCCTGTGTCCTTACATGACAGAAGGGATGAGGGAGCTCTCTGCAGTCCCTTTGATAGGGGCACCAATTCCATTCATGAGGTCCCTGCCTTCATGAACTTA